TTAGACGCGCGCGCATCACTGTAACACAAAAAATTAACGCTCGCTTTAGCGACCAACTTCATGCTGTTACTTTTGTGTTTACCGCAAATTAAGAAAATCTACTAATAAAATAGAAATAGAATCTCTATTTTGTGGGTGCTAACGACTGCATTGTGAAGGCCTATCAAAAGTATTTATTAATCTGGAACAACGGAACCAAAGCGCGATTCAGGAGACTACAGCGCCATCTCTTGACCATTGGTGTAGTAGAACCAAAAACCACATTTTTTTTTGTAATAAAGTAACAAAAAGTATTTATTAATCTGGAACAACGGAATCAAAGCGCGATTCAGGAGACTACAGCGCCATCTCTTGACCATTGGTGTAGTAGAACCAAAAACCACATCTTTATTTTTTGTAATAAAGTAACAGTTATAGGTATTCATATTTATAATATTTATCCACATGTTTCTAGTTTGTATATTCGGAATACGTGTTTGAGTTTCATACAAGTGCAAATCACATATGTTCTAATAAATTATATTCAGTAGCGATTTTAATTGAATATTTTGATTATTTATTTATTTTTTCAAATTAAAACTGAACTTTATTGACTGTGCCCTTTTCCAGACTTTTTATTAATTTATTGTAATTAATTATTTGCATGCAATTAAAAACTAATTTTAAACGATGCCAAAGAAGGATAACTTCTCACGCGCCTACATAAGTACACGCACCCATTTTTTTTCGTTTATTTTTAACTTTTTGATACAATGAAGGTTCTTTGGGGGGGTCAGTATAGTAGAGCTGCCAGCTTGCATCCAGCACTGCATACTACATACTTTTGTTTGATGCTGCTGTACCGACATTCAAAGTTTGTTTTGTTTGTCAAATTATTAATTGAAATAGAGAGAGAGATTAATTGAAGAGAGAGAGATTTTATTAATGGTTAAAGAACAAAATCAATGTAGATACCTGAGTAACAATATAATATTATTCGGGTATACGTTAGTAAGGTGGCGATTTTATTGACATTAACACTTAATCAAGTAACACCCAAAAGCTACTTTAAAAGACATTTATTCCCTCAAAATTTAAGAAAAGTTAATACACATAGTTTAAAAAAAGTGTGCTTTACGCCCTTTTATGTTTACAGAGTGATCAAAATCTTTGACTTAAATCACATTTAGCTTTATATATAGTAAATAGTTGGGCTGTTAAAAACAAAATGAAATTATGATATTCCTTACGTTACATTTTCAATGTGTCTAAAATCTTTATTAATGGCCGCATTGCCATGAGAATTAGACAGAAAAAAAGAGAAAAAAATAATAAAGTAAGATGGCATTCATAACTCAATTTGGCCAAAATGTGCTTTACGTCAATTGAGATTACAGGTATATGACAAGCGATTTAAAAAAAAGTGAATGCAATTGTCAAGCGTAAAGCTAAAAAAGGTTAAAAAACCGGCCAAGTGCGAGTCGAACTCGCGCACCGAGGGTCCCGTACAAACTCAATTTAATACCTCTACATGTTCATGAGAAAAGAGATAGTATTAACTCAAAAATTTGCAAAAATATTTTTTATTATATGATGTAACTAAAAATTTACGGCTTTCGCAATTTTTCCTTTATCTGTACTATAAGACGTTACTTCGTACCAAATTTCATGATTCTAAGTTCACGGGAAGTATCCTGTAGGTTTTGATTCCCGTGCGAGTTTCGAAAATTTGCGGCATAAACGGCTGTATCTTTTGATTGCTTTGGCTTAAAAGTTTGATTTTTTCACAGCTCCAAGAGACAGTAGACCTGAGTATTAGATATGAATTTCAGTTTGATAACTCCACGCGTTCCTGAGAAAAACGGTCTTGACAGACGGACGGACCACAAAGTGATCCTATAAGGGTTCCGTTTTTTCCTTTTGAGGTACGGAACCCTAAAAATTCAAAACAGGGATATCCAGCTGTGCTTTTCTGTAAGAACAAACTCACTTTTTACTTCGGAATCCGCGATGAGATTTAAAATTAGAACACGAATTTCGAATCACAGCGGCGGATTCCTAGGTGAAAAATAAGTTTGTTCTTGCAGCGAAATTCGGAGCAGGATGAAACAGGCAACCCGGAAGAGAACACATTAAAAAAACGACCGAGCCTTACAGTAGTCGCGTATGATTTGTAACATTTAAAACCTCACCTTATTTTAGTTAAAAAAGAAATAAAACCTACTACAAAAGGAATTAGCCATTTGAACATTATGTTCTAAAATCAAATCAAATAGCGCGCGCTTTCGCGACTTCCTGGTACACACTTCCATCCCATTTCACGAAATCACTCCCAAAAATTGCATGAAAGCGAGAGGAAAGATGTTACACATCAAAAAAACGAGCGAGCCTTACAGTAGTCGCGTATGATGTTGTAACATTTGAAACCTCACCTTATATTAGTAAAAAAAGAAATAAAACGTACTACAAAAGGAATAAGCCATTTGAACATTAAGTTCTAAAATCAAATCAGGAAAGATGTTACACATCAAAAAGAGTAAAAATAAATTAGGGGCGAACTGATAAAAGTTCACTTTAAAACTGTTTATCTCGTTTTTCGGGAAACTACAACTCTCGACAAATTTCAATGTTGTTTTATGTAATTAAAAGATCTACAACTTAGTATTTACACTTTTTTCTCATAACCTAAAAATTTCTGCGTAAAATCAAAATAACCGACTATATACATAGATATTTATAGGTTATGTGAAAAAAGTGTAAATGCTAAAGTTCTAGATTTTTTAATTACCTATATTTGTGCCATTGATTTTTTGTCAATAGAAGTTATAGTTTTCCCGTAAAACGCGATAAACCGTTTTTCCCATTTAAAGGCCACCACCCTTCCCGACCTCAAATCACCAGTAATTTATTTTTCCACTTTTTTTTGTGTTCTCTTACTTTTGGCATGGATTCCATCCGGTTTCGAATGATTTTCACTATTTACGTTTTTAAAGGCATCCGCCCTGGCCTACAAGTAATGACAAATATGTCGATAAAGATTTCTAGTCTGTAAACGATCTTTTTAATATTGTTTCAGGTTTGGGTGACTTAGATAGGTACCTTGAATGTTTTTTAATCCATGTCAGAAGTTGTTTAGATACATATTTACTAAACGCTAATAAATAAATTTACCTTTCCTCTTTTTTATTATGTTCTCTTCCTTTTGGTATGGCTATGTATGTATCATCATGTTCCGAATATTTTTAACTTTATCGATTTTGAAAGGCATTGGCCCTGGTTTAAAAAGCAAAAAAAAAGCAAAGACTGAAAAGCAAAATAATGCCATCATTCTATCTTGTTACGGTTTTGCAGTGTATTAGGTCGCTATCAGAACTCTACGTGATCCCCTATCACGTGGAGTTCTGATAGCGACCTAATGTGCAGCATAATTAAGCAGATGAAACACTATCCATCCAGCATGAGTAATAAAAAAATTAAGAATACATGTATATATCTTAATAATGACAGATATTTCATATTTAAGATAGGTAAGACAAAGCGGATTTTCCGATCGAATTGGAGCGCCTGTCTGGGTAAGTAACCTCCACCTTATAAGATCACAGTAAAATAACACTACCTTTTGGTGGTGTTATGCTTCTTTCGGTGAATAAGGTTCCAGGGCTCCACGGGGTAGGGGATTGGGTCAGTATTAGTGTTGCCAGGTCCGATGTGTTTTAAATCGGCACAGGAGGTCAAAAAAATCGGGATTTAGGGTTGCAGATCGGGACAGTAAACAAAAAAACAAGGGGTTTTTAAGTCTGGGTTTAATTTATTGCAATTTAAACTACTAGTGTAAGTATGGTAATATTTATTTATTTATTTCTAAACTTTATTGACCAAAATATAAATATATAACATTGGTGCAAAAGGCGGACTTAATGCTAAAATCATTCTCTCCCAGTCAACCTTTGGGATATAATAATTACCTAAATTAATTTTTTTGATTAATCGGGAGATTGAGCGTCCCGATCAGGTACAAATCGGGACGCGTCCCCAGACCCCTTAAAATCGGGCGTCCCGCGCAAATCGGGACTCCTGGCAATACTAGTCAGGATAGGCGAGGGTACCGTAGAGAACTAATAATAGGTTTCGGTGGTGTTGTGTTTCTGTCGAGAAAAAGTTTTCTGAAGCACCATGGGGTGGCGGGTGGGATAACTGTAGGCGCCTCCCTAATAATACTCTGGTATCACAATCGTCTATGATTGTGTGCGACCCTTTTTTTTTAAAAAAGGTGTTCCACCTAACTTCGTAGTTGCCAGACCAACATCCGCTATGTGTATCCTTATGACTAGTAACTAACCGAATTTTTGAATGCAAAGACTGCTTAGTTCTTCAGGGCGGTTTCCGCACTTAGTCCTAATTATTGGACCATTGTGCGTATGCAAAGACTGCTATGCGAACAACGATATTGGGTTTTTAATATATTTGTATGCGAATCTTTAGCATTAAACGCAGATCAGAGGCTGCTAAAAAAGAATATATTATGTGCATCAACCAGATTATTGTCAAATATTAACTGCTAATATCTGGTATGTGCAAAAAATATAACTTAAGACAGTTATATTAGTTTCACAGCTTCCATATTAAGTTTTGATCGAGCAGATTTAGCAGGTATACTTAAGACGTATGCATTTAACCATTGAAACTATTCTCTTTATCAGAAATCGCTTCGAAAAGCAATCCAATTTACCAAATGATTATTTTCTCTGGTATCATATATGAAAAGTAAGTAAAGTAATTTAGGATGACTATGTATTCATATTTCAGTTACAATCATAAAAAAATATGCAGCAGGTTTATTAGCACAATTTTTAAATGCTTGCTAATCGGAAAATGGACACACTCGCATTAATAATCCGGTCAAACGTAAAGTCGCGACAGATTGCAACCTAAGTGATAATTCATTTTTGCCTTACATGTAACGTTGAAAGTGAATCATGTATAAATTGACGTGGTGTCGAATTCGACCACCATAGTTGCATCAAATCGGTATTATGAAGGTGGTGATTTTCGCGTGTACGTTAGCGGCGGCGGCGGTGATTGCAGCGGGGGCACCCGCTGCCACTAATGGTGCTGAAGAGCGGGTGATGTTCGTGCCTCAGCCGCAGCAGTATCGATCAAGGAGGTCACACTTCGCGCCCTCTTATGGAGCACCCTGTGCGGGACCAGTGCTGCCTGCTATTGCCCCAGCCCCGGCCTACCTGGCTCCTATTCACGGCAGCATCGGCTACGGAGGCGGAGGCTACGGCGGTGGCGGCCATGGATACGGCGGATATGGACCGCACTACCGAGCTGAAGATGGGGAGACTGAAATCCTGAACTTCTCCGATATGGAGCAAGGCATGTCGGAGCACGTGCCGATGGCGAGATATGGAGGTTACGGCGCTGCCCCTGTTATCCACGGAGGCGCAGGCATAGCTGGTTTAGGGCTCGGTGGAGCTGTGGCGACTGGGCCGGCGTATGGTGTGTTCCCACATGCTAACACTGGTGGTTGTAACGTGCCGCTGCTATTGAGCTGCTCGCCATCGATAGTGCCTGGACGCCTGGTGAAGAGTTACGGTGGTTACGGGGCTGCGGTCCCGGCAGTTGGCGTGGCCGCGACTAACGCGTACCGTGGTGCCGATGACCAGAATCTGGAGCATGAAGAGAACCCAGAGGAACCTCATGAAAACCTGGAGCCTGCCGAAGACAACACGCACTCTAGTTAAAGCGGACTTTATATAATGTATCAGTTGTATATAACGATAGTTTTAATTAGGATTTTAAATAAATTCTAGGATTTACTAAAAAAACCTTCTTGTGTTTTACTTTTTCTATCTTATTTGTTGTATACTTTCATCAGATTGGTGACAGAAATTTTCGTATGACTGATTGGTCAATTCATTAAACTCAACGGACGTGGGTTCGATTCCCACGCTGATAGCTGGTAAAATTACTAGAAGTATTCCCATCTGCTTCACTTTGTGTCCTATCAATTTTCGAAAATAGGAAATCGAAATCTGCTGTGGTGAGGCTGGAGTGGTGATTAACCTTTTACCCCCTTATTAATAAACAAGGAATAAGTTTAGACTGGTTACGCCGCTCAAATACAATTTGTCATTCAATAGACAGAGACAAAACACGGAGTAACTAATCCAAGCTTAGTCCTTGCTTATTAATAAGGAGGTTAGTGATTAGAGACCCTTTGTCAAAATTTCTGACCTCCCCCGGGCCACCGATTTGCAACCCATCCTTAAAATTAGTAAATCAAATCAAACTATAGGTCAGTAACGAATTCCTGTAAATGGCTTCTGCTGCCCCGGGGCGTAGGCCTCTTGACCCCATGGTAAATACGCCCTGATTGTTTGTAGCTATTATTACTCGTGTGTTAGAAGTTAGAACTTAACTAATATTATTTTTTCGAATGGCTTCGGGTTCAGGCACCATCGGTTAAGAACCACTTTATTGATGTATCCCTTTTGCTTCAGTTATTGACATTCATAACTGAAGCAAAAGGGAATTTAGTGTCAAAATTTACGACGAGATGTTGAAATGCTCGAGAATCATGAATAAGTTATACCAGCGTTAAGGCGTCAATGTACTCTTAAGTTTGATAAAGTTAATGATCCTTATTTGCGATGATGAATAGGATGGGGAAACATGTGAATAAGTCATTAAACTCACTTACTTAATTAGTCATTAAATATAATTAATGTCTCTGGGTGCATTAAAGTCACATCTTATCTATCATAAGGTTCCTTCTTTTCTTATAATAAATCAATAATATTATTAGGTCCTAGGCACGACTTCAAAAATCTTTTCTGTTAGGCATGGAGTGACATTAAAAACATAAAATAGTTATGCTAGCTGCAAACTTTTCCGTGCGATTTACTAACTGATCTAAGTGATAATTTAAGTGTCAAATTAGTGGTAAGCCAGGCTAAATGTTAAATATGATGCTTTTTAAGGTTCCGTACCCAAAAGGAATAGCTGATCTAAATACTAGCGGCCGCCCGTGACTTCGTCCGCGTTAATTTTAGTTTTTTTGAAACCCTCAAGAATTTTTCGCAACAAAAAGTATTGTATCTCTCAATCCAGGTAATTAACTACATAGTCAGGTCATAAATTCTGTCACATGTTTAATATAAAATAATTGAAACAAGTTTATTCATTATGTAACCATTTATATACCAAAATGAACTTAACAAAACATAGATTCTTATGACAATAAAGTTTATTCAATATGACCTCCATGATTTTGAATACAGGTCCATGTCAATATCGGCGGCTGCCTTAATCACGGATGTCTTGAGTGACTCCAAATTGGGATGAGACTTTGAGCACGCCTTTTCCTCCAAGTGTTGCCATATCTTGTAATCTAAAGGACTCAAATCTGGACTGGAGGAGGGCCAGTCTTCGTGCCGGATGAAGTCGATTTCACGATTTCACAGCCAGTCTTGTGTGCTCTTCGCTCTATGAGCTGGCGCCGAATTTTGTTGGAATACCCAGTGCCTGTTATTGAACATGGTATGAGAAACAGGGTTCACAAGGTTCGTCAGGACTGTATTTTGATACACAACTGCATTCGCTTTTACACCTTTCTCAAAATGTACCTCTGTTAAGCCCCAATAAGAAACTCCCAACCATACCATGAGCGAGGATGGAAAATGACCTCGTTGGACACGCGGAATACGTTTGCTCGCTTCTTCACTACTGTGTGCGTACACCTCATCATTTTGTTTGTTGTAGCTCTCTTCTACTTAGGGTAAATTTTTTTTTCATCCGAATAAAGAATTTCCCGATATTTTTTTCTCTCTTCAGTCTCAGGTCCATAAGACGAGCATTCAAATGATGTCCTGTTTTTCTTCGATATGCCCGAAGCCCTAAGTCTTCATTTAACACCCTTTTCACCCTGGTTCTGCTTAACCCCATCTGAAGGGCCAACAGTTTCTGCTGACGTTTGGGATTTCTATGAATTCGCGCCTTCACAGTTTTTATAACTGCTGGAGTCCTAACATATGACATAACAGATGGTACGATAAGATAAACGAATCTTTTGGTTATATTCAAATTTTTCAGTAGGTATGTCAAAAATTGGAATTGGCGCGTAACCGCAACGATGCAACGCAATAACTGCAACACGGTCTTTTTTAAGCGTCCACTCCATATTTTAAAATGAGTAAAATTCTAACAAGTATGCATTTTTATTTTCATGAACAATTCGAAATTCGAATTCAATATTTTTTTTTGTGGCCAGCGTTCTAAAAGAAAAGTTTTTACTGTGTGACAATACTTATGACCTGACTGTGTTTATAGGAAGGTGCCAACCCATGTGCCAAATTTTATCCAAATCCGTTTGGCCGTTTTTGCTTAATTTTCATCCCCTTCTTTATCTTCTTAGCGGTAGTTTTTTGGAAAAAATCCTAATGCACGTTATTCTTTAACTGGTTTTTAGTAAAAATACCAAATTCAGAGTTAATTGAAATGCGCATTAAAATTCATCCATATAAAACTTCGACGCTCTCTCTTCGGGTTAGGAAAACTAAAAATGGCAATTTTATTATTTATGGATAACACTTTATAATTTATTGTATTCGTGCTAAGTTTCTAGTCTATTAGCTCAAGGAATAAGATTTTTCATACAAACTTTCATACCCTATTTTAAACCCCTCGGGGCTGAATTTAAAAAAAATCCTTTCATAATGTAACCCTAGACCTCATAAGGAGTCGTGACGTGTCTTTGGAGTCACTAGACTCAACGGTTTGGGCTGTGCATTGATATGTTATTCAGTCACACAGTCAGTGAGTTTCTTCTTTTAAATATTTCGATTAGAAGATGAAAAAGAGTAAAAACCGGGCAAATGAGTGTTGTGCCACGCGCAGTGTAGGGTTACGTAGTAGTACGTCGTTACAACAATATATTTCTGAAGTAGTCTTTACTTAAGCAATTTCTTCGTCTAAGTCACTACTTAAAGATATATCTTCTACGGATTTTTTGTTAGGTTATAAAAGAGATTGCTCAAATTGGCCCAAATGCACAAAAAATATTTACATACACGGTAATTCTTGGCGTAATTTATAATTTAATTTACAGTCATTAGATTTCAACGGACACTTTTGTATAATATATTTACTTTAAAAAGGACTTTTAATTTTACGGTTTGGAAAACATGCGAATCATTTTTAATGGCTATGGGTGTAGAAACATTCAGCCAAAGACTGATCGAAGTTGTTTATATAACATGAAAACAAATCTATTTTGTCGAGATCGATAAAATAAATCATTTTTTTATTACACTGTGGTATTAATATCCACAACTATATTATCATTTTCACTAGATGCAAATGTGCTCAGACAATTATTATAGATGGAAGGCGACATCATAAAGTCTATTGCCATACATTTTTCGCCAAACACTTCCATAAACACATTATAATCGGTATATATGTTAGACTTTAAGGTATCTATCTATGGGCCTACGTTCCCTGACTATAAATAAATAAAATTATAAGGTGTGATACACTAAAAATCTAAAATATGGTTATCTTAAAAATATAACAAAAATAATGAATCTCTTAGCTTTCTTTGGTTAAGAGACCTTTCACATTTTTTGCAAAAAATTGTAATTTTTGAGCGCCTCGTTAACCCCTTTAGATAAGATTTTGATAATTTCCAATAAAAGTAAACAGTAGATTTTTTTTTCCTATTGTAAGTTAATGTAGAATATTTGCAAATACTATTTTCCTTTTTTTGGACTGATCGTTCTACCGCAGCTAGTTTACGGAAAAAACGATAATATGCACAACTTCAAACGCCTGAATCTCTAAATAATGTTGAACAAATTAGATCAAGTTAATTACTTCGACATCAGAAATATGTTTTTGTTGTAACATAATGTATTAGAATTTTGATTTTCTATCTCATTAATTATCAAAAAAAACATCAAATCTCCGTGAGTTTTCCCAAAAAACAATGCAGGTTTGGAGATTGAATTAAATAGAATTACTATCAAAAACTTTCATAAAACTAATCTACCATTATTGAACTACTAAAGTATTTATATATTTTTATAATGAGTTTATTAATAATTATTTTATAAGACTCGAAACATCACCCGTAAAATGCAATATTACTAGTGCAAATGGACTTACGCGCCAATCAGTACGACAGCGGCGCAATTTTGTAAAAGGGCTCTTAACGAGAGTTTAAAAATTCTCTCTAATCTGTGGCTCATTCACAGTCATCACACAGTTTCTATCACAGAGTACCTTATTATAACCGGAAATGACACCTGATTTTAAAAGTTACTCTTATGCATTAACTTTAAAAACAGGCAACTATCTGTTAATCTACATACTCTATATACCTGAATCTAATCCATAAATTCGGTACTTGGCTTGATTTCCCTAGTTTACTATTATATAACCTATTTGTTTTTTATTATTTTAATATGTTCAGTGTATATGGTTTATAGAGGTTCTCAGGGGTGTCCGTCAATAATATTCGTTTCTACAGTAAATTATATATAATTTCGAATCTAGGAAACAATTTTTCATGATTATTGGTCTTTAGGCCAAACATGTATGGAAGCTGAGCAATCTCCTTTCTAATACATAAGTTGAACGATTATTATTCTTAAAGTACCTGAATTATCTTAACGGTTATAATTTTCCTTAAAAGTTCATGAAATGATTTTTTTCCGATTTTCAATAGTTTAGCTTTTAGAGGGGGGGGGGGGAGGGGGTGACGTACTACTACGCCAAACCACGGACGGACAGACAGATGGACATGACGAAACTACAAGGTTCCTTGTCAGGACTACGGAACCCTAAAAACCGGCCAAGTGCAAGTCGAACTCGCGCACGAAAGTTTTCGTAACATTATCTATACAACATTAGATATAATATTACTATTATAAGGATATCCTTATTAACTATTTAGAATAAACCTTACATATCCCATATGTAAGCTTCACGTAGGTTTGTATAGGACTACATATGCTACCGGTACTATATACTCAACATGCCTTCCTTAAGAAAAGATGAATTCAGACGTTACATATTTGTTATACTAGCTTCCGCCCGAAATTTAGTGTAATTTTTACAGTAATTTTTTTTGAAAATTTCACAGGAACCTAATATTTTTTCGGAACGAAAGTATCATCTTCTCTCAATCCAGATAATAAACGTTTGTCAAATTTCACCCAAATCTATCAAAACTTACCTAAGTACTTACTTTAATTCCGTTTACTAATAGTTCAATTACACCTGGTTGTTAGCCCGTATTTGGGTGCACGAAAGACATTACTCGAATTGGGGCACCCGAAGCAATATTTACACATGAATATGGGCTGGAAGACAGTGTCGGGCAAACTACTCGACTCCGTCTATTTACACTAGTCGTTTACCCGAATTCCTTTGGCAATCGTATTCGAGCTAACGACCAAGTGTAATTGAGCCATAAGTTGTGGAAAAATTGCCCAATTTTCACAATAAAACTTTCTTAAATCTTTTCGCAAGTATAAAGCTTTCAATTTTAATAAAAATAACGTTATTGGTAAGTGATTATCAGTTATTAAATAAATGAGGAATTGGCATCTTATTTCATTAAAAAGTTTATTTTAAAATTGTGCCATGGTCATCTTTATTGTATAATGCATTATATATACATATATATATTTTAGGTGCGGGTTAAATAATGCAGAATATCGAAATTTTTACAATAACCTAGATGTTTCGGAAGGTTCCATCGCTATAAGACTACATTGTTATTCCAGATTTCATAAGTGTATGGTCACTATTTCCCTTCAGTTTTCATCTTGTTTTTGTTTTCCTGGTATGGTATCACACTAATATTAACAAGGCGAAAGTTTGTGAGTGTGTGTGTGTATGTTTGTTACTTCTTCACATCTAAACGGCTGGAGCGATTCTAATAAAATTGGGTATGGAGTTAGCTGACACTCTGGATTAACACATAGGTTTCGTTTTACTGCGGGAAAATATCCCTCCCTAATAAACCGCGTGTAATACTACGGAGCACAGCTAGTAAATAATATCCATCCATATCCATATCAATGTCCTATAAAATCCATATGTTACATAAATATTCTTGGAATAAAGAAATCATTATCTCCCTGACGCTGCCTAAGTGATTCATGAGAAATCGTGCAATTATTTCCGAATAATTGAGTAAAGTACTGATCAGATGAAACGTGATGAAATGACGATTATATTTATTTTACATTATGTGAAAGATAACAAACGTGCACTTAACTAATAGGCACTAATTTTCACTTCCTATTTCAGTATAAATAGATCGAAATTTTCAAAGCGATCACACATCACCTTCGATCTTCATAACATCACATCACAATGAAAACTGCATCAGTTCTTTTTGCGATAATAGCGTCCAGTTTGGCGTTACCACTAAAAGATTCAAAAGACTTGAAGAGAGATAAGAAGTCGCCATCGTTAGGTGCTCCTTGCTCGGGGGGTGGGTACTTAGCCCCAGCCCCTCTCCACGTTCTGCCACAGTACCGTGAACTTGATCACGAGAACGAAGAACACCAACGATCATACTACGAGCCAGCCGCTGGTGCAGTCATCCCGGCTCCACATCCAGTCGCAAGTTATGGAGCTACGGGACCAGCTATCGGAGTATTCCCGCACGCAAGAGTCAGCGGCTGTAATGTTCCGCTACTGTTGAGCTGCGCCCCGAACGTCGTCACTGGCGTTTTGAGTGAACATCACGGATACGCCGCTCCAGCCTATAGGAACGCCGACGAAGATATGATGCGGGAGGCTGATTGGGTGAAAGCATCCCGGGCGGCCAACCATCACAAGCTGTCGGAAGACTTCCCAGAATCACAAACTGGCAAGCACAACACCGTCCTCAAAGATTTATCCGAGCCGAATCTAACGAGGACCGTTCCGAAGCCTGAAAACGAACAAGTTGCCCACGCTGAACATCATTAGGCCGATAATGGGACAAGATTTGGAAATCATCACATGATATTACTTATTTATTTTTTTAATTATATTGATTTTTATTATGATTTTTTCACGGGTATTTAATAAAGAAAAATAATTGATATATCTTTTTTACTTTCATAGTAATTTTCCGCGATGCGAATTTTTCAAAAATGATGCCAATTTTTTACTTTTTACACATTAATTTCAATATAAATTTATAATAACTAACTAGTCCTACCTAACAAGTCATATTAACTTACTCTAATACTTTTATAAAATTATAAAAAAGATAAAGGAAACAGCCAAATAAACTTAGCAGCTGTGCTGGGCAGCAAAAATTTACTGAAGCTTTGGTCGTCGGTGTACGATGACAATACTATATTTGTGACACTTGTTCCTTTTCAATCTTTTCTGCTGCAACTGCTCCGTATAATAAAATTATGTAAAGACTAATGTATATGTAAATGCAATAGTGTGGTTGTCTGTTACCTGTTCCTTCAAGCTTAAACTATTGAACCGATTTAGATAATTTTGGTATAGATTATTACGATATTTTTTAAAAGGGTGAAAAGAAGGCGGAAGGTTTGTATCGAAAACCAATTTAAATCACGCAGACGAAGTCGGGGGACAATTGAATAAATATGTTTATCACTAAATAACTAATAGTAACTAATACAGTTACAGCTATGAAGTTATTGTTAATGATGACACTTGAAACCCTTTTAAGTAATTTATGTTACCGCGTTACTAACTAGCTTAAGTTCTTGAATATAATGTTTAATTTAGTATTATCGATTCAACGAAGTATGAAAGTACAGCAGGAAATATATGGGAATAACCATATTTCCCGTGGATTATTAAAAGTTTAATTTATGTATTTTACTTATTATATATTTAAGATACGTACTTAGGGTATAGCGGATTTCCCGCTTGAATTAGGTCTGGGGAAGAAAACACAACCTTACAGAAAATCACAGTAACATAATACTACCTTTTGGAGGTTGTGTTTCTGCCCAGGGAGCAAGTTCTAGGGCTCCACGGGGTAGGGGATTGAGTCAGGGTAGGATTATTTTGGTATCGTAAGTGTCGATAGGCTGTGGTGGTCACCCTTTTAACATAAAAAAAAGATATTTATTCAAAATACTTATATATTACTAGCTGACTCGGCGAACTTCGTACCGCCCAAAAGTAATAATTTGCAATAAATTAAAATTGCGACTATAATTTGAGATTTAAACTATCCTATCTCTCAAGTTGGATCGAACTGCACATGGGTGCGAATTTTATTATAATCGGTTCAGTGGTTTAGGAGTCCATTGAGGACAAACATTGTGACACGAGATTTATATATATTAAGACTAGCTGTCCCAGCGAACTTCGTACCGCCATAAAAAAATAGGGGTTGGTGGTAGAAGGTAGGTGGGGTGAAAATTTAGGGTTGTATGTATTTTTGTATGATGTATCATAAAAAATCAAACTTTTTTTCCAAAGAAATGTTTATGTTGTCCGATTCTTAGACCGAATATGCATATCAAATTTCACGGAAATCGGTCGAGCCGTTTCGGAGTAGTTCAATTACGCACACCGTGACACGAGAATTTTATATATTAGATTACATAATATGCTGTACCACGAAAACCTCGTACGGAATGTCGTAGGGTTTACCTGGGTATCAGCGATTCGCAATTTTTTACATTTAGATCATTGACGTATAAAACAAGACGTTGTATACGACTTGTTTTTATACGTAAATGAATTAGGTCTACCTAAGTATTTAAGCAGTGGGATTTTAGTTTACAATGAAATTGTTCATTTATTTACGTACTTACATATTCTGTAACACTTTCTGAAGCTTATTTAGACTTATCCTGTCCCATATAGATTGCTGCTATTCAGGTAAATAAAGTATATCTGTTTAGATAATTAGAAGGTAATTGGGGAATCTGTACAGCATCCTTAGTCCAGTATATTTGCTAGATAATATAGCCGCCGCCATTGTATTACTTACCTAATTATACAAAACAATGAGCTGCAGAAATATTTCTGTAAAATATTGTCAGAAAGCGGACTCATATCCGGTTGACTGGTAGAGAATGCCTAATGGCATTAAGTCCGCCACTTGTACATACTTTTGTGCAATAAAGTATAAATAAATAAAATAAATATGCAAAAGGAGGACAGTGAGATATTGGTATAAATAATGTAAGTATCTATACATATAATAAAACTAGCGGCCCGCCCTCGCTTCGCTTCGGAGTAGAGCTGAAGTGTAGACTACAGTTTTTGTTCTCAGGCTTGTATTATACACAATGACATTCATCTATGATTCTTCTTATACCTGCATGCAAAGTCTCAGCCCGATCGGTTTAAAATTGACAACGTTTCATACAAACATTCATTTCCTATTTTATCCCCTTGGGGATAGAATTGATCAAAACCCTTTCTTAGCGAATGCCTACGTCATAACATCTATCTGCATGCCAAATTTCAGCCCGATCCGTCCAGTGGTTTGGGCTGTGCGTTGATAGATCACTATGTCAGTCGGTAATCTTTGAGTTTTATTTAAATAGATAAAGTCAAATCTGTACATTGAATATTTTTTAAAAGAATACTTGGGGTGCGATCTACAATCGATACCGAGGTCAAAAATATAGCTTTTAGAATTTAAGTCTGTTTGTCTGTATATATGTCCGGGATAAACTCAAAAAGTACTGCGTGGATTTACTTCAAATTTGACACGAATATTATTAAGAAGTCGGGTCAACATATAGGCTACATATTAAAACGCTATCACCTACGGGGAACGAGCAGTGAACCTTTATTTCTAACTAAATCCACGTGTACAAAGTCGCGGGCGGCCGCTAGTATTAGATTTATAGCTGATATACTTACATAATAATGCATTAATATCATAAAAAAACATAAGATACAATAAGAAACGCCCCTGCGCATGAGCCGCATGGTGCTCATAAAGCTGAGTCATTTGAAAATCTGGCATGCGGGCAATTTTATATATATTATTATTAAATCAAATTAGAACTCATAATCGAATGCCTTTATATGTATTGTGCCACCCCTCCCAGCGCCTCGGGTCATAATGGCCCTCTTGGTCCTAGAGTAAATACGATCATGAGTTTTGAAGAAAAAGGCATATTTCGTCTAGTTGGCAACCACGGAAAAGGCTTAAAAGAGCACTTCTGTCCCTCCGCGGGAAGATAAATGGTCGCCGAAGCCTCCAGACGCTTGCGACACCAGAGTATCATACGCGCCGTGGCCTATTCTGAACCTATCCTCTACCCCGTGGAGCCCTAGAACTTGCTCCCCGACAGAAACACAACCACCAAAAGGTAGTATTATTTTACTGTGATTTTCTGTAAGGTTGTGTTTACTTCCCCAGACCTAATTCAAGCGGGAAATCCGCTATACCCTAAGTACGTATCTTAAATATATTATAAATAAAATACATAAATTAAACTTTTAATAATCCACGGGAAATATGGTTATTCCCATATATTTTCTGCTATATTTTCATACTTCGTTGAATCGAATATAATGTTTAGCTTAGTATTACTAAATTAAACAATATATTCAACAACTTAAGCTAGTTAGTACCCAACGGTGGTCACATAAATTACTTGAAGGGTTTTAAGTGTCATCATTAACAATAAGTTCTTAGCGAGGAGTACTGGAACTTTACTTATTGACAGGAACACTGCACTGCCAATTACCAGGGGCGTATTTACGTATGGTGCAGGGTGTGAATTGTACGTCGCGGAGGAATCCCTAACGGGGACCCCGCGGCTTCGCGTGGAGCAGCTTTGAAGGTATGCGCAGGATTTTTTAGCGGATATTATACCGTAAAGCGCCCGTAAGAGTTAGGGGTCCTTAGTGGGCAGCCACTGTGGGGCATCGTAAGACTTGAGGGAGCCAGGTGTGAGGTCCGTTCGGCGGTATGCCTCTTAAAGGCGCCGTCGTCTGTAAAAAGATTTTTTGCCTGCGTAACAAAAAAAAAAAAAGGGTGTGAACTGCACACGGGAGCTGCGGTCTCAGGGTGTACCGGATGTCGCTCGCCACCACATATTGACCGCGCGCTTACTTAGAGGACGTTAGGTTAATGCTTTGCACACGAACGCTACAAGGGCTAGAGACGCCTCTCGGGGCGGGCGGCAGGCTGCGAGAGGCGGCAGAAGCCCTATATTTTGGTCTGATATATATAATTATAGGGTGCAAAACATAAATTCCCCGGTGCGGCAGATTTTTAAATACGTCCCTATTAATTATTAATGGTCAAAATGGAGCGCTCCCCAATCTGAAGATGCAAAACTCCACCTTACAAAAAACATGCATACAGGCAAATACAATTTTTCAAGTAATCCTTGAGTGAGTAAGATCTCCAGAGCTCTATGTAGGATAGAGGATGTAGATGTCGGGTCTACTATTATAATACTACAATGCATGTAGGACAAATTCCTTTCATATTTTTTATCCGGCTTAGACATCAAATTAGCTGAAAATTTGAAAAAAAACCGGCAAAGTGCGAGTGCGAATTGCGCACCGAGGGTTCCGTACAAACCTGTAGGTATATTTTAATAATTATTAATAAATATTTTTTATTATATGCTGTAACTAAAAATTTACGGATTTCTCAGTTTTTCCTTTATCTGTACTATAAGAAGTTACTTCGTACCAAAGGAGATTGCTCAGCTTCCATACATGTTTGGCCTAAAGACCAATAAACATGAAAATTTGTTTCCTAGATTCGAAATTATATATAAATTTCTGTAGAAACGAATATTATTGACGGACACCCCTGAGAACTTCTATAAACCATATACACTGAACATAATAAAATAATAAAAAACAAATAAGTTATACAGTAAACTAGGAAAATCAAGCCAAGTACCGAAATTATGTATTAGATTCAGGTATATAGAGCATGTAGATTAACAGATAGTTGCCTGTTTTTAAAGTTAATGCATAAGAGTAACTTTTAAAATCAGGTGTCATTTCCGGTTATAATAAGGTACTCTGTGACAGAAACTGTGTGATGATTGTGAATGAGCCACAGATTAGAGAGAATTTTTTAAATT